GTGGTACCTAAAGATAATTCCAGGCCGCGGATTGATATTCTAGAAAATTGAGAACCGTGACATTAAAATCTACAATGTTGCTAGCTGGGCAAGAGAACTAACTAATAGAAGATCTACCACTGCTTACTTTGTTAATTGGAGAAGTAAAATGCAAGTTGTGGTGTCAAGAAGCAGTGGAGAATCTGATTAACGTACCTTAGCCCTAGAAATTTGTGAAGGGATGTGGCTAAAGAAATTATTGGTGAAACTTCATATGTAAAATCAAAGCACTATTTAGATATTTAGTGATAGTCAATCAATCATCAATATTTCAAATAATCCGGTACACTATGATTGAACTAAACATATAGAGATTTAGATACACTTCGAGCCCGTTTGAGGCAGGTTTTTTGCTGCGGTGCGGTGGGAATATGTTGGGCAAGGTATTTGGAAATGGTGTCACGTCTGCGTTTTGGGAAAAACAATGTTAAACATGGGCCATGGGTTCATCCCCGAGCTCTGCATTTTTTCACAATCATATTAGTCCCCTACCCTGCTCTCCCCTCTCTTGTGTCTCGCTCGACCCTCTTTCGCATTTCTGCTCTAAGGAAACATCTCCTCTCTCGCGTCCCTCTCGCTTCTCTCTGCTCTCTCGCTTTGGTGGCTAGGGTTTGCCTTTCTTCTCCTCTCCCTCTTCTCTCCGATCTCCGGTTTCGTTCGGGTGCTTTGCTCTTTGTCCTCCTATGATATTCTCTACTTATTATCTCTGTGTTTTGAAGTTCATTTGGATTTTGTGGTTTTCTCTTTGCGCTTTGTAGCTTTCCTCTGCTGTGAAATCGAATTCCTATTGGTCTATGATAAGATTGTTGATCCTATGGGTTCTTCTGGATGACCTATATGTTGTTATTGGTTCTTGACATGTATAAAATCCCAATGAAGTCAACCAAGTTTCTCTTCTTTTTCAGTCATATGACTTTTGAGGTTCTTCTAGATGGTCTTTTTGGTGATATGCATATGCGACACATACAAACTTGATATTATGTGGTTTAAAGGCAACAAAAACCTTTTTTTTAAGTTTTAATGTCTGCTTGTAGTGATAAATTCGTTGGTTTATACTTTGTTCTTTGAGACCTCACAATTTCATAAAACTTGAATTAAATGGTTCTTCTATTCTTCATTACTAATGTTGTATCTATGAGTCTGTGCTTTGTGGTTTTAAACCTTTAGAAAAGACGAGCTTGAGAACTTCTAGTACCTCCAAAGTATTATACTACTACTGTGGACTATAATGTTCCTTGCTTACTTTGTGATAACTATATACCTATGAGAGATAATTTTACATGTATCCAAGGAATAAAACGGTGAATCGTGACTTCTTTATGTGGGCGGATCGGTTTGAAAATTCCACCGTCGATAGTGATTTGGAGTGAAAAGTTTCGTTAGAGCAATGATTATCTAGTGAAATTAATCAACCGCATTTTAAAAATAATTTTGTGATATTATTAATTGTTATTTTAATAGTTCTATTTTTAATTTTGATTGTTGTGCTACTCATTATTTTGTGATGTTTTAGTTTTTATTTTGTAACATTCAAACTGGATATTGTTTTTTAGTATAAAATGTGCTAGTAGGATTGGTTTTGTTTTAAATAACATTATACTACAAAAGCAAAAAAAATATTTATTGAGAAATAGTTGAAACACAACTGTTGTAAAACTGCAAAAAACAAACAGACAACTAACTTTTCCACAGTAGCTGCTTCTCAGTAGCTTTCTGGCACAGCTGCTGCAGAAACTTTTTAATAGGTTGCAGATGCCCCAAATTGTCCCTTCATCGCTGAAAAGGTCAATGGAGGGGGTCGTTCAACTAAGTTAAATTTCATCTTAGTATCTGATTGTTGATGTTTTTATCAAGGCTTTTCCTCGGCACCACATTAGTGTTTTCAGTAGGAAGTTTGAGAGTTATAACATATACAATCCAACTTAAGGGGGAGTGTTGATATACAAATGATTTTTAAAACCATGAGTCTGTGAGCTTATTCCCTTTTAATTATCTATTATTGTGTTTTATTTCTTTCCTTTTATCATAATGATTTGAATCTCCCTAATTGTACGAGAGTTAGTCCGAGCTGTATATATATTAATTCTTTACTTAATGATAATTTAAATTTCCCTCATTAGGTCTGGACTTCCTATCCGTATGACCGGTGTCTACGGCTGGGTCAACACCGATCCCACAAAAAATTGTTTGAAGACTTATTTTAGGCATTAGACTAAAAGGGAAATTTAGTCTTTTATTTTTTTCTTAATTTAGTTATTTATCTACTTTAAATATTTAGTCATTTGTTTGTTATTATTGTGGGGTATTTAGAGTTATGTTATGTGATTATTGTCTTGAATCTTAGGATTAGGGTTTGGGAGAGAATCACGTACCTCTCGAATTATAAATGTTTATCTTTTTTGTATTCGGGATTGTATCATTTTGATTTGATACTGGCGGAATAAAATATATTATTTATGCCCTAATTTATGCGGAAACTTGTCTCGTTCCTATCACTATCACACTTGCATTAGAGCATGGCAAGCTGATTTCAGGGAATGCTTTTAAAAATAATAAAATTAAAATTTGAACTAATTTATTAGTTTTGATGTTTCTATGATTGGTTGTCAACCAACATAAACCCTTAATCTCTCCCATCTATGCTTAGTTGCCGACAACATAGATAACAAAATGAGTCGCCACAACAAATAATAATAATAATATTTTTTATGGCAACTACTAAAAAGGTATTTTCTAAGGATTGGAGGGACTGCCACAGCTTTGATTGGTCACATGGAGAGACCCGCCATTAACAAAAGCAAAATTGAAGGCATTTAAAGTGTTCCAAACAATTTCTAGCCTAGCAACTCGTATGCATGGAGTACAAATTGACTCCAATGATAAGCGAACTAAATGTTCAAGCCATGGATGGGTGTGGTGAGCATGTGTGAGGCAAGAAGAAATCTATCCAAAAGAAACTAAAACTTACAAAATCACGAAGAAGCATGAACAAGAATACCATGTTATCAGAAGGGAGCAATGCAAGTGTGATGCTTAGAACAAGCATTGGATATAAAGATGAGATGTGAGAAACAATGACGTCATAGATATATGATTGTTAAATTTTCAATCATCATGAATGTTATTTAAAGTAAAAAAATACGTGCAAGCTAAGTGCGGCGCTAAGTGGAGCAATAAGGTTCTTCAAAGAAATCGGCATACATTATAGAATACGGAAGTAGAAAAGTGCACATGTCGGCATTGTTTTGCAGAGCAGAGCATTTTATTAATGGGCTAATATTGTTCGGTGCTCCTTAAAGCTGTATGAATGCTCCAAAATTATAAAATCCTAATGCTTTTGTTTCTTATATCAGGTATTATTATTTGCATAGTGTAAACCGAAAATTTACTTGGGAGTCATTTTTTGACTGAAAAGGATAGCATACTTAAAAGAATAAAAGATAATTGAAATGTAGTGTATATGAAATATTTCAGATAATTTAATTGATGTAAAACAAATATAAGATGTTCTATTTTTGTGTTCGGTTTGAGATAAAATAAAATTAATTTAAAATTTGATGGTGGTGACTAGTGGCCAATGGCAGGTGGTTGGTGAGTGACGGTGGTGGTGACAGGCTACCACTGTCACCACCAAATTGTTCGAGTTTGGAATACATAGAAAGTGAACTACTGGGTGAGTTTAGAATTTCCTAGACTTCTGCTATGCATTCGATATTCTTCAAATCATACACTATTTTAAAATCATTGCTTTCTAATTACAATACACTAGAAATACATTCAACCCAAATAATTCACTTTTATAAGGCTTCATTGGCAATTGGAATACCTCCTATTTACGTGCAATCAAAGTGATCTCTCTCTATAATTTGATATTTATACGTTGGGTAACATGTGCTCACCGATGGAAAACAGCCTGTAATGGCATGAGCTTCAATATATCATGCAAGATGTAGGAAACCATTGGGGATTGAAGGGATTTTTGGTAGCTGGTCCTTCAAAACATCGTTTTTGATGCATGAATGAATCCAGAGAAAGTGCGCCTACCTAATAAAAAAGAAAGATTTACATGCATACCACTCAATTCTTATATATTTACATATCTAACACCTAAACTTCAATATATCATGCGAAATGTAGAAAACCATTGGGCATTGAAAGGATTTTTTGTAGATGATCCTTCAAAACATCATGTCTGATGCATGAATCAATCCAGAGAAAGTGCGCCCACCTAATAAAAAAGAAAGATTTACATGCATACCACTCAATTCTTATATATTTACATATCTAACACCTAAACTTCAATATATCTAGCGGGATGTAGAAAACCATTGGGCATTGAAAGGATTTTTTGTAGATGATCCTTCAAAACATCGTGCTTGATGCATGAATGAATCCAGAGAAAGTGCGCCTACCTAATACGAAAGAAATATTTACATGCATGCCACTCAATTCTTATATATTTACATATCTAACACCTAAACTTCAATATATCATGCGAGATGTAGAAAACCATTGGGCATTGAAAGGATTTTTTGTAGATGATCCTTCAAAACGTCGCCTTTGATGCATGAATGAATTCACGGAAAGTGTGCTTATCTAATAAAAAAGAAAGATTTACATCCATACGGTTCAATTATGTATTTACATATGTAACACCTAAGCTTCAATTTTTTCATATATGTCAACTTATATATGCAAGAAAAGATGTATTTCACTTTAAAGTTAAAATAGTGGTATTTCTTACATCACATGCAAGATTTGGCTAGTATAAATGTAAAAAAAATAAAAGTTTAGGCGTTAGATATATAAACAATTGGGTGGTATGTATGTAAATGGCCCGACAAAAATTGATTAAAACGTGAACAATGTAAGCTTTAATTGCACACTTGTTTGCCTATTTTTGAGAGGCACACCAGCCTATTTATTATGGTAACTGATTTACATATTTTGTTGATTTTCAGATGGCCTTCTTCTTCTGGTTTGCCTTGTCTGGGTGGTTGTTCAGGTTTTTCATTATAGCTACTTGGGTATTGCCATTTGCCGCGCCTCTTCTCATTGGTACATTTGCCAATAGCTTTGCTCTTCAGGTAGGCCATATTTCCTCTAATTTTATTACAAAATTCTTTACATTTTTCAAGGTACATTGATTTTCTAGTAGGGTATCATCCTAATTGGGAGCATCTCCTTACCTTTTTTGCCCCTTTTCTCTAACTATGTAAAATATAGTGTCTTATCAATTGGGTTTCAAAATCTTATTCAAGTTTATTTATTTATTAATTTTTTTTTTAATCAAATTTATTCTGTAATCAAGCTTAGGTACATGTATTATGCTAACTATTTAAATAAATATTCTTATTACTCACAATAAATTTGTTCATTATTTTTATCAAAACTGACAATAACTTACTTGGCATTATTTATAATGTATTATGAATAATAAAATTACATTTTAATCTAATCAACTTGCATTTTTTATTACTGTATTCATTAAATGTTTACAAAAAAGATAATATGATTGTCTTTATCTATTAATCTAATTATTTGCTAAATATTTTATCACACCTGCATTTTTAGTAGTAAAAATAGCTTTTCAATGTGCCTGAATATCATAAAACTGTTATATCATAATATATATTAAATTATTAAAAATTTAACTATATCATAATGAAATGAGCATTTCATTCAGCTCTCAGTGACCTGTCTGATAAAAAATAATTGAATACGGCCAACAGGTTCATATTCAAGTTTGTTCATTTGTACGTCTAAGTTCAAAAATTTCATTCAAATTTGTTAAATTTTCTGAATAAATTAGTATAAATGAGCTTTATGTCAAACCACACTTCGAACCTAGATGTTCACTTATAGCTCTAATGTCCTATCTTCAATTTTTCATTGGGAAATTTACATACATACCACATAGTTCTTATGTATTTACATATCTAACACCAAAAGTTTGATATTTACATGTATGCTTGAAAATATGTATTTCATTGTTTTTTAAATTAGTAATAGTGGTATTTCTTATATGATGTTAATCATTTGAGTGGCATGCGTGTAATCATTAAGAATTGTGTGGTATGTATGTAAATGCCCCATTCTCATAATTACAGAAAGAGTTATGAATTTATATGTTTATCTTATTGTGCAGGGTGTCTGCCCAGCTTGCAAGAGGCAGTTTATGGGGTACCGCAACCAAGTAATTCGCTGTTCAGGCTGCGGAAACATTGTTTGGCAACCTGGTGCTGCTGATTTCTCCAAAAAGAGGAGCAATTCTTCCAATAGACCTTCTGAGTCCGACATAATCGATATTGAGATAAAGGAGAAGTGAGGTAATACTTGATTGATTTTTTTTTTCTTTTTGCATCAGAAAAATCTATAGTAGATGGAATGTTGGAAGACTTCCACCTTGACAGACCTTCCTTTTTGTGCTCTACTGTACATGAAATGTATTACAATCTGTCCTATTCTGTGAATATTCTTTTAATCAATGCAATAGTTGCCATCATATGCTTAGCTATAGCTTGAAAGCGGGCATGAAAGTTAAACTTATGTACGATAATTTAGGGTCGGTTTGGGATAGTTTTTATCCGTGTGCATTTTAGACTGCCATCATAGTTTAATTTGGGAAACTGCTTTCTTATTTTTTTCTAGAAATTTTTGTGATTAGAAGTTGTTTTTGTTGTAATTAAATATATTAAGATGTGGTGGTTATAATAAAGTTTATGTTTAATATTTTGGAAAAAAAAAAGAATGATTAGCAGTTTAAATATAAAAATTAAGTTTAGGTGTTAGATATGTAAATACGTAGGAGTTGGGTGGTATGAATGTAAATGCCTCAAAAAGTAAATATTTATAGTTTTTGCTGCAATTTTTTAAAATAGTTATTTTTCCATCATAATTTTATAATTTTTTAAATAAAAAGTGAAGCCATTCCAAGTGGACTTTTAAGGTCAGTTTGGGATAGTTTTTTGCTTGTGTTGTTGTGTTTATGACAAGCATCATAGTTATGTTTTGGGGGTTTTTTTCTTTAACTTTCTTAAATTTTTTTGGGAGTGAAAACTATTTTTTTCAACCAAATTTATTGAGAAATGATGAATGCCATAAAACTATAGTTTGAATTTTTTGAAAAAAATAAATATATATCTTCTGGTCTTAATTTTCTAAGACGTTTATTTTCCCATCATAAATTTATAACCTTTTTTATAAAAAATTGTAGCCATTCCAAATAGATGAGAGGCAAAATCTCTCGCCAGGATCACTGCAGGTGTAGTTCAGAATTTATCTTGACAGACATAATTTGGCAGGATGGATTTCCCCTAATACCCATCACAGATAATGAAATCTAGTTCGTTGATGGGATGAGAGGTTTCTATCAGAGTCAAGGGATCAACCTAAAGTTTTTGTCCGCACATCATCCGCAAACTAATAGCCAGTCGGAAGCTGCGAACAAGGGCATCTTAAACCCGCTAAGGAAAAGAGTTGAGGGTGCTAAAGGTAAATGCACAGATATGTTTCCTTCAGTCCTTTGGGTTGTCTGAACCATTTTGACAAGATCGACAGGATAAACACCATACATGCTTTCCCATGGAATGAAAATCATGTTACTGGCTGAGTATAATCACTATAGCCAAAGAGTTGTCACTGCACTGTCTTTCGATGATGGGTAGTCCGTTGGCTGACAAGATGAAAATGATGAAGGAGCTTCACTCATCCTCAATCTGTTAGAGGAAATTCAAACAAATGCTGCCCTGCAACAAGAAGAAATAAAAATAAGAATCGGCCACTACTACAACAAGTATGTTCGGGAGAGGACATTTTTTTCTGGTGACCTAGTTTTGAAGAAGGTTGACCCGGCCGTGAAAGGGAAATCAGTCAGCAAGCTCGGGACATGGACCAGTTTTTTCATCATTGACCATCAAGTTTCCCTTAGAGCTTACAAATTAAAGTCATACACAGGGAAAAGCCTCAAATGAGCATGTAGTGGAGATGAACCTTAAGAAATTCTATCAATAAAAAATGATTACTTTATATCTATTATTAAATTTAATAAAACAATGTTACTATGAGTAAATTTGATTTATTTATTTACTGAGAAAGCTAATTGTGATGCGGTGTAAAAAACCTAAACTCGGGGAACTAGAGTATCCATAAAGACAACCGAAAAGTGTTCCTATGCTCGGTCGCAATAAATACGATCGAAAAGCGTTCCAACGCCTAGTCACAATAAAGACGACCGAAAAACGTTTTGACGTTTGATCACAAAAAAGATGACCAAAAAGCATTCCAACGCTTGGTCACATTAAAGACAACCGAAAAATATTTCGATGCTTGGTCACAATTAAGACGACTGAAAAGTGTTTGGTTGCAATACAATTGAAAAGTAACTGAAAAGCGTTCTGATGCATGGTCGCTACAGGAAATCACATAAGACATTCCAACGCATGATTATAAATCAAAAACTTAGAATTTTTTCTAAGTCCTGAAGTTTTATTTGATTGCCCTATGAAAATCTTGTTTTCCCATCTCTGAGAAAGACAAGCAAACCATACAGATGAAGCAAAATATGACTATAAATGGAACACACAATCAAACAAATGGTCATAAGTAAAAATGACCAAAAGATCATATTTCATTCATATAAATGTCTGTTACAAAACCCCTAGTATATACACTTTGAGTAAAAAAAAGAGAGAAGAAGAAGAAGAAAAGTATGAATTTATGGAACTTTGGGTCGAGTGTTAACGATCTACCATCCACAACATTATCTCCCTCGGATTCCTCATGATGCTCAGAAGCAGAGGAAGCGTAGTAGAGTTTCTTAAACTCATCAATATTATAATATTTAGGGTCAACCATCCCCACTCTATCAAACTCATCAACCACAATCTTATGACCTCTCCAGGTATTCAATTTGTGTGGTGAGGGGTTCCTTCGCGATAATCATATTAGACTTCTACTCCATCAATTCTCAGTTGGTTAGGCTACTTCACTTGCTCTTTTCTTTCAGATTGAGCAAAATTTCAGGTTTTTTCTTCTTTCATCCCTAGAAGGGCGAATTTTTGAAGCAGGAAGCCCAAAGGCTCTCATTAGTGCTTCCTCACTCACTGATTTCTTAGCACTTGACATATTCGTTCGTTGATATGACCAACTAAAAGGCAGATAATTTAAGAAATGAGAAGAAAGAAAAGCGTACTTCACGCCCCATTTATAGGGAAATGCGGCACAAAAATAAAGGGAGTATAATTACTAGCAATATTTATTACTCATTATGTGAATAATCATGTTATTTAATTATCTTATTCTTATGACAGTTGTCGCTTTCAAAGAAGTAAGGGAATCAGAGAACTAATTATGTACATCAAAAAGATACCTACATGAATCTTGAGAAGATACTATGGACCACATGAAGAAAATTGATGTACGAACATCCGTTATTATACCAATGACCTCTAAAGCTGGCCGAATGACCGACCCAACAAACACCACACGACCGCATTGACGCTTACACAACCAACATCTGCCATTACAAAGATCAATTGTCGTCTGAAGAGAATTCCTTCAATATTGACACATTGATCGAAGGTAGGCTGCCCACCAAATTACAGTAATACACCCTCTACCTGATGGAATAATCATTCCTAAGGTCAATGTGTGCTCAATAGGTCCCATCTGGAAAGACAACAAAAGATCATTCAATTGGCCGAATGACTCTTGACCGACTGAATGAATACCAAGTGACCAAGCCAAACAATTACAAATATAAAGTGGTGTCAAGGGTAGTTACATATATAGAACGACGTAAACAACGTTTACAGGATCAAAACATGTATGATTTAGTTATAAATATGTAAATGTGTAAAGACTCATAAATTATGATAACATCCCCATTAAACGGGGGACAATGATGTAATTTGTCATACCCTTCTTATGACCTATAAATAGAAATGTCGTTTTCACTAGGGGAGACAATCACACAATTCCCCATAACTAAGCAACAATTGTCTCCTTTCTCTTACTCTCTTTCCTTTCATTCGATGAACGCTCTATTCCTTGGACGTGATCCACAAGACAATTTAGGATCCAACAAAACCACTAAATTCTTACTTCTACATATCTGATATCTAAATTCTGCTTTTATCTTTTTGCCACCCAAATTTTTCATCACTTCAAAAGCATCATCATTCTAACTTTCGAAAAGTGAAATACACCTTTTCATGCATTGATAAGGTGGTAGGTCCATATGTAAAAATTGAAGTTTAGATGCTAGATATGTAAATACATATGTATTTAGTAGAATTTATGTAAATCTTCCTCGAGTTAAATTTTAATGTTTGATGTGCTCCTTGTCTCGAGCATTGCATCCCAATCTGTTGTGCAATATTTATTGCTTCGTTACCTATGGACTTGTCATGTGCCCGCATTTGCAAACAGACCAGAGGCCGTGTTGTTACCAGGATTTAGTTAATTCTGAGCTGGTAAAATTTGAAAATTGTTTAGCATGATTATTATTAAATAATATTAATGTCAAACTGTTTATTTATTTGCTTATGAAAAATAGATACAGGAAAGATCAGCATGTTGCCACTGCTTTCTGAAGTTGCTAAAACTTAGGATTCAGTAAATACCAAAATTATGTAAAATGATGAGAGAGAAGTTAAAGACGTACCGTTGTATTTATGGATATATTTTAAGGCTGCCAGGATTTAAATGAAATCTTACCTAAAATCTGCATTATATAAGAAACAACCCTAAAGAGTTGCTGGATTAGCGAGATGTTTCAATTGAGGATATATTCATAACATTCTTGGTAAGCAGTCACAAGAGTACAATTTTTTTAGGAGTCACTTACATACCACCCAATTCCTTTGTATTTACAAAACTAACACCTAATTTTTTTTTTTTTTTACATTTATACCACCTAAAAATTTTATATCACAAATTTAACTTTTATTAAGTGAAATACACCTCTGCATGCATGGACACATTTTCACTTATAAGTGTGTATATATATATATATATATATATATAATGAAGTTTTAAGGGCTAGAAATGTAAATACTAGGAATCGGTCGTTATGTGTGTAAATCTTCCTTTTTAAATCATTGATTGGATAGCATTTATCAATTACAAGCCGCTATTGCATTATTCGGCGACTTGCCACTTACATAAGCGATAATATTACGCTGCCTGCTTTATAGTTTCAGCAAGAGGAATATGATCCAACTTTTTTTTTTATATTAACAAATAAGAAACAGTTAAAAACATATTTTTAGTCTCGTTATCGGCTACTGTTATTCGGATGAACTCTCTAGCAAGTATACAAGGGCAAAAGACATAACTTGACCTACCCCATTCTACTAGATTTCTCCATTGAGAAATCTGCAAATAAGGAACAGAACTTACAAGGTTAGATCTTACAGCAGGAGCAGGAATCTTAACTATGCCCCAGCACAGTGAACCAACAGACCCTTTCTCAGGTTTTTGAAGATTAGAATTTTGCGGCATTTACATGCATACCACCAAATTCTTATGTATTTTCATTTCCAATTTTACACTATACATTTATACCACCCAAATCTTTCATCCACAAAAAAAAAAATATCATCATTTTAGCTTTTAAAAAGAAAAATACACATTTTCATGCATAAGCAAGGAGGCATATATGTAAAAATTTAAATTTTGGTGTCAGACATGTAAATACATAGGAATTAAGTGGAATGTATGTAACACTTACTATAATTTTTTAACATTTCCAATCTACCATGAAACTCTGGCAATATTTCACAAGACTGGCAGCGCAACTCCAGAATCAACGAAGGGCAGGTGCTTCTCTAAACTTCGAACTCCTCGCCATTTGAGGAACTGTAGCGAAAATTTGTTTCCAGGGCCATTTTTATGGGTAAAAATTAGGTTGGAATATTCTTATCATTTTTTTTTTTTTTGTAATAATGGATCTCAAAATCATTAAATCTGTTTTGAGAAGAATCCAATATAAATTTTGAATGATTGATTTATATTGCACTTATCTCAAAGTAAATCTACAGTTTTGAGATTCATCTAATTAAAATTAATCATGATATCATGATCCAAAGTTTTTTCATTTATAATGGTTGTAACTCTTGCTCCGGAAAAGCAGCTTCCACATGCCTGTAGGATCCAGGCCCCACTGGTTTTCGTCTCCAGAAGTACCATACCACCAGAATTGAAAATGAGATCACCATAACAATAGCTACACCTACTACAAGTCCAAGTAGATGCACTTGCCCCCATGACCTATAAAATTTTATTGCATATGTAGTCAGGCATTAGGTTAAAAAGTTAAAATTTCAAAAAGTTCCGTTGAAAACCAAATTGAATTCCACAACAACAGAGCAGCATGAGATGAATCGTTTTTTAGTTTTTGACAATCCTAAGGCTATTTATGTGGTTAACTGCAGACTAATCTATATCATTTCAAATAAGAAACAGAAGATGAGCAAGTTAAAAAAAAAAGAGATTATTACCTTCTTGGAGGTTCAATGTCATATTCAACCAAACTATAATTTCCAAAATTTGAAGGAAATTGAAGGCGGTGTTCAGTTAAACGTGCGATTATACCCTATAGCCAATATAATAGAACTTTCAATTAGAACCAAGTAACTTGCAAAAGATGAACTGATGAAGATGTTTCTTATAAGAGCTTGTTGAAAGATTTACCATTGCTGCTTTTATTGAAATAAAGCCAGATTTTGATGGAAAAATGGCGCATCTTATCAATGTACCATTTCCTTTGCTCATAAAGCTCATCAAATGAACCTGCCATGTGCTCATTCTTTAGCAATCTACATGATTAAATTTGATAAATTTTTGTTTCAGTGGCATCTCAACACAGAAAAGCTTGTTTTTTAAACCTTTGTCAAATATAATAGGCATATGAATTATGTGAACATTAGCTCCATAAAAATTGAAGTTATGACAAGGCTTTACTCACTTGAGAAACATCGACCTCCAGTTCATGCGCAATCAGCTCTTTAAAGTCTTTTATATGAGGTTCGAGATCCGAATATTCAACACTCAAAGAGATATCAAAGTTTATAACTCCAACCTGATATTGGCCTAAAAAAAGAGACATTTGTTTTACCAATAAATAAGAAAAAGCTTGCCTCAAAAAGCTTCCAAAAGAGAATGGTTATATCAGAAGTTACCTTGTCGTCATCCTTAACCTTATCCCAACTACTTGGATTAGATTTATGCATCCATATCTATTCATTTATATTGAGCTCATTTATGTCTAGGCATTTTCCCTACTAATCATTTCAGATTGGAGTAAACTCCTCTTCTTGTGACAGCACCTCCTATCACGTTAAACTACCTAAAATCTATATTTAAATTCTTTATTTTTAATAGATGTTGCCCCCTTTGTCTCTCCATCCTTGCAAGTTTTACTGTATATTTATCTCAACATTCTTATTTTTGTCATGCTTGGTTATTCACAACTTCTATGGTCCAACTCTCAGATTCATAAATTGGTAGGGTGAAAAAAAATAAATATGAAAAAAAAATCATAGTGCCAAAATAAATGGTAATTTCTAATGAGCAAAGGCTATTCACTTAAAAAAAAAAAAAAAAGCAAAAACATAAAATCAAACTATCCAAAGAACAAGAATAAAAGAAAGGCAAAAGATACTACAATTTGCATGCCAAAGGGTACACGAACAAGAACAGCTTAAATGTTTTTTTTTTTGTTAGCACAATTGCTCTTTAAGGATAAAAAAGAAGGGGCATCTACATACATACCACCCAATTCTATGTATTTACATATCTAACACCTAAACTTTACCTTTTTACATTTATACCTGTAATAATATGAAAACTGTACTTAAATGATAAATTATAAATAATAATAATAATAATAAATAGATAAATAAAAAATAAAATGCTTTGCGTGTGCATGACACCTTTAAGCTCTCACTACCCGTGGAAAGTAAAGATGAGAATTATCTCCTCGTGTGCTCTTATTCGAACTGAACGAGAGAGGCAAAAGAGGGACAGGGAGAAGGAGACGAAGCTTGTGTGAGAAAAAAGAAGAAGCAGCATAAGAAGAAAGGCAAGAAGCGGCACACATGAGCTTACCTTCAAGTCAAGCATTCGAGCAGCTCAAATCAAGTTGGTGAGCAGCCAAGCGGCACACGGGAGATGCTCAACCAAGTACCTATTCGCTTGAGCGGCTCGTTGAAGTTCTTTTGCATACAAAGACACACGATCATGTGCGTCTCAATTGTTCCAAGGTCAGACGTGAGCGTGAGCGACCGGAAGGGAAGAAATTGAGCCTTTCTCGTGCGTCCATCTCCTGTGCAAGGGAGAAGTCGAAGCTTCATGTACCATAACCGAGCATAAGAGAAGGAAGGGCTCGTGCGATTTTTTTTGCATCTAGAGGAGCTCAATTGAGTTTTATAAGCTTGTAATAGTTTTCCCTATGGGGCTATTTGGCAAAAAATGACATTTAAGTTATTAGGATTTAGTAAATCTAGTAAATTTGGATTTACTAAATATTGTGAATAGTTTAAACCCGAAAAACTATTTGGTAACGGATTTACTAAATCTTGTAAATCCAACATAATTGTTTGGTAAGTAGAACAAACCGAATAGCTCTTCCTCTAAAACCCATAAATCCACCGATTCGTGGTATTTAGTAAATTTGGGATTTACGGCCAAAATCCGTGAAATCGATAGTCCAAATCCTAGGGCAGGGAAAATAAACCCAAGAAAATTGCTAACCAGATAAAAAGAAATTATACTCTAATAAAACTAATGAAATCCTAAAAAGCTAGCATACCATAGCTTTCAACATCAAAAGCATAAATTTCTAAAGCACACTACAGATAATGATAATGACGTTCCCTCCTGCAATTTACGAACCGGAGCCAAAATCAGCAAACAAATTGCAAGTATTAGCTGGAAAAACCGAATTTATGGCTAATTTGATTAACACCAAAACAAACAAACTAGATACAAGGGATAATTTACAATTTGAGAGATAGATCGTCTCTTCAAAAATCCTAGATGCCACTAGAAACAAAAAGAAAAAAAAAGGAAAGAAACTACATGAATCAAAACATATCCCAACCCATGCGTGATTGGCCCCACACATTCAAAAATACCACCCAAGCCCCTTCATTCCTCTCTTCGCGTACATGATTATTATCTCGACGAGCCCCACCAAGGGGCTGGACTCTCCCAAGCAGTCGGTTGGGTCGCGACCGGTCCCTCTTGGATCGACACATAACAATACTCTTCTCCGAAAGAAGATCTTGTCCTCAAGGTAGCATGGTAGAAACTACTTATAGTTCACTTCATAAGCCTCCCACGTTGCTTCATAATCTGGCAAATTTTTTCACTTTATCAACACCTCCTTTGCCATAGTCATTCTTTCGTGCACCCCTTTTACCTCCAAAGATTCCAAAACCATCTCTATGTCCTCTGTCAACATCGATGGCAGTGAAGACAATGGTGTATGGTCTCAAATAGAAAGCCTCGGTTGTGATACATTAAATACTAGATGCAATGATGATGATGGCGGTAATCTCAGACGATGTCACTACCCCAATACGTGTCACAAGCTCATGGAGTCCAAAATGTTGTGGGAAAAGACTAGCTCTTACTCTTGGCCAATGTCTTCTGTCGGTAAGATCTCGACTTCAAATAAACCTATCTCCGGGTTCAATATGTAGCTCCCTCTTCATGATTTGTTGGTTCTTCAGTAGATGATGTCCCTTGATATCTGCTAATATCATATCCCTCTCCTCATAGTAATGGTCTACAGTGGATATTGGTGTAGTGCTATGCCCATATTGTATTAAGTGAGGTGAATCCCTCCCATACAAAAAACATGAAAAGAGTGGTATGAGCTCTAGTAAGGTATGAATAGTTGTACCAATACCCACCAAGCAATCCATCTTGCCCAAAGCTTCAACTTATCTGATACAAATCAACTCAAGTACGTCTCCACACTCCTGTTGACCACCTCTGGATGGTCATTTGTTTGGGTATGGTATGATGTACACTACTTTAGGATTGTTTCTGTAATCTGAATAATTCCTTCCAGAAATGGTTGACGAATACCTTGTCCGTGTCTAATGAATTCTGGAACACCATGCAAACAAACCACTTCCCATATGAACACAGTAACAACTGAGATAGCAATGTAAGCGTGTCGTAATGGAATGAAATGTGCATACTTACTCAGATGATCTACTACCACAAATATTATGGTAAACCCCTATGATCATGACAACCCCTCTATAAAATCTATCGTCACTTACACACAGACATCCTCATGTAAATAGTTAGGGGTTGCAATAACCCTCTTGGTGTCATAGTCAAATACTTGCGCTGTTAGTACACATCACATCTTGACACTATGTCCTTTACATCTTTGTGCATCCCCACCAAATATAACTCTGTCGACAGTCAATTGTATGCCTTCTGTACTGCTGAGTATCTCCCAATGACACTATCGTGAAACTCCTGCAACAGTTTGGGAATGTACCACAATGCCCACGTTAACACGAATCGTCCTTGATAGAGTAGTTATTATCCTCTCAATACATATCCTAGAGGACTGTTTGGATCCCGTAACAACTCTGCCTTGGTCTTCCTCAGCCCTTCATTCTGTCCACACTCCTAACTCAGGGCTTCCTAATCTTAAGACCAGAGGTACTTATAAAGTTGTCAACTGGAGCTCCTCTACCTTCCTTGATAGTGCATACAAAGCCTTATTCTCCACTCTAGGGCGATACTAGATCTCAAAATCATATCCAAGTAACTTGGATAGCCACCTCTGATGCACTTCAATTACTTAATTCACTCCAACAAATATTTTAAGTTCTTCTAACCTGCCCTGACTATACAATGTTTCCCTAACAGATAAAGATGCCACATTCGAATGGCCAAGACAATAAACATCAATTCCCACTCACATAAAGACATGAGCCTCGTTAAGGCAGTGAGAACCTGGTTGAAATAGGCAATATGTCGTTGGTCCTGCATGAGTACTGCCCCCAATCTACATCTAGACACATTTGTTTCTACCATAAATGATCTACTTAAGCTTGGAAGTGCTAATATCGGAAAGTTGGTCATGGCTCTCTTTAGTTGTTCGAGGGCTTGTGTCGCTACTTCCAATTACTTGAAACTATCTTTCTTCAGTTTCTCCGTCAATGACCATGCAATGGTGTCATGCCCTCTCACGAATTTCTATTAGTACTCAGTGAGACCTAAGAACCCTCCCAACTTCTTCAAGTACCTTGGCAAAGCCAGTCCAACATAGCCTCAATCCTAGACTAGTTTGTTGCTATAGCTTTGCCCTAGTCACCACATGCCCTAAAAACTCCACCTATTACTGAGCAAATGAGCATTTCTTCAAGTTGGCACAATTGGTGTCCTCTCATCGTCTCTAATACTATCCTCAGGTGTCTCATATGTTATGCCTCCATACGATCGTAGAACATGATATCATTAAAAAATAACTCATTAAAAAATAACGGGATGAACTTCATAAGGTAAGCCTGAAAACCCCTAATCATGAGAGATTGAAATGTAGTCAGGAGCATTGGTAAGGCTGAATGGCATCACCAAAAACTCGTAATGTCCTTCATAAGTCTTGAACGATGTCTTATGCACACCAGCTTGATTCATCATGATATGATGGTGTTCCGACTTCAGATCGATCTTCAAGAAGATGATTGTTCCATAAAGTTCATCTAACAACTCATCAATCACCAGAATAAAAAACTTGTTTAGAACAATTTCCTTGCTCAAACCTCAGTAGTCCACACAAAATATCCAGTTATTATCCATTTTCTTTGCTAATAAAATTGGACTGCAAAAGAGGCTCACACTGGACTTGATAATCCCACCTTCAAACATCTCCCGGATCAACCGCTCAATCTCATTCTTTTGAATCTAAGAATCCCTGCATGGTATGACACCAATAGAAGGAACGCTTTTCTTCAACGTAATGACATGCCCGTGCTCCCTTTGTGGCGGTAGCATGCTAGGCTGCTGAAAGATTTCGATAAACTGCTGCAAAAGCTGTTGAACACACTCGAGAAACT